AGATCATCTGTTGAATGCATGAGACACGAAGGGCGTTGTTCCTTTTGTAAATATCGCGGGGTTCTCGATTAGCCCGTGCCTTCGTTATCCCGAAATTCTGTCAGCTCACGTAGTTCGTCGGTTTACTTCAATTGTTCACCGACGTCAGTCGAACTCCTGTGAACCAGATAGTGACATTCATTGTCGTTCTTTAGCACTGAGCTGTTCGTGGAGACCTATAGGCAATTTTCGATGCCTACAGATACCCCCTGCAAAGCGTTCCGGACTCGTTTCTTTTATAGAAGAGGCTGGAATACTTTGGATGTGATTGGTGTAGCCTTCAGTCGGCGTAAGGACCTGTAGTTAGCTTCGACTCTTGACTCCTTCGATTTTCGCTTTATCCAATGCTTTGACGAATAGCCGAAGTTCTTCCGGTACTGCGTTTATCGCTTGGCCGTCGTCGGAGTCTCGAGTCTACAGCTGATGAATTGAGTTTGGCTCGTGTCATTGACTTTGAATTACCTCCGTCACATTGTGTTAACTTAGGGTTTCGGATCACAGTATGTTGACTTTTTGTCGCAACGCGTTGACTGGCGTTGACCTAGGGTTACGCGTTGACCCTAGGGTTTCGAGCGTCGAACTTTGACTTTTTTGGTCGCAACGCGTTGACTGACGTTGACCTAGGGTTACACGTTGACCGGCGTTGACCTTAGGGTTTTTAAACCTCGTACGTTGACAAGTTTATACTCATACGTTTTCTGGAGTATACACAGTTTAATCTCTTAAGGTATTGGAGCAGGGCGGTCCCAAATGTTGGGGCTGCAGGACCAACTGTTAAAGCTGATTCATCTGCATGTGTGGATTTTATCCTGAATTTGTTGGATGCTCAAGTCACGAGACCAACTAGTGGAACTGGTGCGTCAATGACTCGCATTTATAGAATTTTTGGCAAATTCTCAGCCATCAACGGGTTTGATGAGCCTTTATTGACTACCGTTTGAGTCGCATTTATAGAAACCGTAACTCTTATCTCGGCGAAGCGAGATAATCACTCTTCTTAAGATTACCGCAAAGGGATAATCCTAAGGAACGAACCGGGTTGCAGATCTAACTCCTCCTCTGCCGAGGCACGAGAATTCCAGATCTCAAAAAAAGGCTCCATGGGCTGTATTTATAGGCTTCAAGGAGATCCGGGCGGTTAAAACCGCAAAACAACCAAATCTGACTTTTTTAGGGCTAGAGACACCCTTGGGTCTCTCGGCCTTGGCCGAGACACCTTGGGGTGTCTCGTTTGTGCCGAGACACCTCGGGGTGTCTCAACTCAGGCTGAGACGTTCCGTTTTGCATATTCGTCCGTTTCCGCCGTAACTTCTTCATCCAAACTCGTATTTAAGCGATTCAAAGTGCGTTGGAAAGCCGAAGAGGAGTTCTATAAGCTCCAATGATTAGATCATCTGTGGAATAAATGAGACACAAAGGGTATTTCGCCTTGTAAGCGACGTGGGGCTCCCGATCAATTCGCATCCTCGTTATTCTGAAACTCTCTTGCTTCACGTAGTTCGTCGATTCACTTCAAGCGTTCATCGACGTTAATCGAGCTTCTGTGACTTGGATAATGACGTTCCTCACCTCCTCTCAGCTTTGAGCTGCTCACGGAGACCTATAGGCAATTTTCGATGCCTACATTTACTGATTGAGATTTTTCGTGTAACAAATAGACATATCAGTAACGTGAAAAATCATCAATAAAGGTGATAAAATACTTTTCTCCACCAAAAGATGGAACATCAAAAGGCCCACAAATATTAGTGTGTATTATTTCAAGGAGCTTAGTGCTTCTTGTTGCTCCCTTCTTTGTGTGTTTTGTTTGTTTTCCCTTTATACAATTCACACAAATACCATAATCAGAAAAGCCTTCTTTGTGTGTTTTGTTTGTTTTCCCTTTATACAATTCACACAAATACCATAATCAGAAAAGTCCAAGTTTGGTAAAATTTCATTCTTTACCAATCTTGTCAATCTTTCTTTGGATATATGACTCAAACGTTTATGCCACGAGTAAGCTGAATTTTCATTCACTAAACCATGTTTAGTTCCAACATTATGATGCACTATCAAAAGAGTTTCAGCAAAAAGATTATCAAGTTTTAATTTGTACAAACCATCACATAAAATACCAGAACCAATAACACAATTTTGTTTGTACAAACTAAAACACCCATCATTAAACTTAAAGCAATATCCTGTTGAATCCAACTTAGACAAAGAAATCAAATTACGAGAAACAGAGGGTACAAAAAGAGTTTGATACAAATCTAAATGAGCTCCAGTGTCTAAAATCAAGCGATAAGTTTCAACAGCTTCAACTGGAGCTTTCACTCGATTTCCCATAAAGATGAACTTCTCATTTGGATTTGTGGTCTGGGTCGTAAGGAATCCCTGCATCGTATTGGAAACATGAGTGGTACAACCAGAATCAATCCACCAGGTATTATAAGGTACTTCAGTTAAATTAGATTCGAAACATACGAAAGTATTAAACTTACCCTTCTTTTCGAACCATGCCTTACGTTTCAGGCAATTATTCTTGAAGTAACCATGCTTTCCGCAAAAGCGACACTTGTCATTCTTGAAGTCCTTGTGGATTTTGGAGGAAGAACCATTCTCCTTAAGTGGCCCTTTACCCTTCCATTTCTTATTTCCAGTCTTCTTTTTAGTTCCTTGATTACCAAGGAGATACACGGAGTGAGTTACTCTATTCTTAATCCTTCTTTCCTCCTGAACTAGCAAATTCTGTAGCTCATTCACATTCTATTTATCTTTCATGGTATTGTAGTTCATTTGGAAAGTGCTATAATTTGGTGGCAATGAGTTTATGATAAACTGCACCAGAAAACTCTCATCCACCGCCATCCCCAAATCCTTAAGCTTTGCTGCTACATCAGTCCTTTCAATCAAATGCTCATACATGGCCCTAGAACCATCAAACTTCATGGTGGTTAAGGTGGCCATTAATGTCCCTGCTAGAGACTTATTTGCCGTTTGAGAGCGCTCTTCCACAGACTTCATGTATTCTTTAGCAATTTCAGTCTTAGGAAGAGTTGACTTGATGTTATTTGCAATACTCATTCGCATGAACATTAGGCTTAGTCTGTTCGATCTTTCCCAAGCATCATAGAAGATCTTATCCTCATCGCTACTAGCATCAGTAATAGGAGCTGGCTTCTCTGATTGAAGTGACAAATCCAGATCCAATACACCTAAATAGAATCGAATTTGCTCACTCCAATCAAGGAAGTTAAGTCCATTAAACAATGTAACAGACGAAGCATGCGAATGAAGAGAAACGGGAACAGGTACTACAAAATTATATAATACTCAACATTAAAACATTTATTTGTAAACACATAAAACAGATTCAAACCAATAAATGTATATCAATGTTCTCCTTTGGGTGATACAAAGACATACAACAATAATTTTGATGCTAAAAGAATCAATAATTTGGCAATTACATGCATACTCTACTCAGAAGTATTTAACATCTTTCGATATAAAAATACAACTAATAATAGTATACTAGATGCCAACAATTATGTTCATTAATTATATGAACAACTAATCCACCTTTGGGTGATTAATTAATTATATGAACAACTAATCCACCTTTGGGTGATTAAAACGTCCTATAATAATGAACTAAAATTACCCTTAATCATTTATAAGCATCAATATAAGTGTTAAAACGTCCTATAATAATGAACTAAAATTACCCTTAATCATTTATAAGCATCAATATAAGTGAGTAACTTTAACAATTTTATAACACAATTTCTTTCAAACTTCTATATTGGCCACTTTGGTAACTAACAATATATAGTTTAAATTGCCAACGTTTTCTCATATTGTTCATATAAACATCATATTGAATTATTTTCTTTCAATTGTGTTTCACATTGATGAATGGTAAACAATTGTGTTTCAAGAATATTTCTTACAAATGTCTCTGTTTCCCTCATGAATGCCATTTTTAAGGATATGACATAGGAAAGATCCAAGAGGGTCGTGCTCAGTATGATGGAATTACAATGGGAAAATTATTGGCGGAGAAAAGAAAATGACATATAGACGGATATGAATCCTTTTATTGATCAAGGAATCTAAGACGATCAGTTCCTTTAAAATAATAATAATAATAAATCAAATTAAGACTAACAGATGCAGCATCATGAATCTTAATTTCTTGAATGGTCTCTTTGATATGGCATCGAATCAGTTCATGATAAAATCCAAAGCAAACTATTTAAAGAAAAGAACCGCCCCAGTACTTTTACAAAATCTGCACAACAAGTATTAGTTTATACATGTAACCTAAACATGTATAGATGCGACATAAATAAGCCTAATCTTAACAATCATATGTTAATTGTAAATATTAGCAGCGGATTAAATTTCATTGGAAAATCATGAGTTCGTAAACTAAGCTCGGATACCATATGTTAATATAATCATAACTCATCTATAATTAATTAGAAGACATGGATCGTAGAACTTCATGATAATCACAAATATAAGATGTTTGAGATCATACCTTGAGCCCATGCTATGAACCCTTAGAGAATTGAGACCTTGGAGAAGATTGCTTTCTCTCTCTAATCCTTCTTCAAAACCAAGCCCTTTTTTTTAATTTCGAAGTTAACTAATGGATTTAGAAATTATGTGCTTAGATTTCTTTATAGGAAGAGAGAGGAGCAACTATCCGGTAGTTAATAAAATTTCACACCCACACATGTTTCATTAACATGATTAAAAACATGGGTGTTAGTTAATTAACTACATGGTCATTAATATATACTAATATATTAAGTACTTTTCCATAACCAATAATCCTCATAATAGTATTAATATTATTTAAACCTTATACCCAATTTAATATATGGCACATAGGCCATATATTTCTTACAACCTTGACCAGGTTGAAAAAGAGAGAGAGAGAGAGAGAGAGAGAGAGAATGGTTCACCTCATCACGGCCAATATCCACAATTCTCTCCTCTAGTACTCTGCCATCTGTTATCCCGTGCTTGCTGAACAAAGATAAAATAACCGCTGTAGAAGCCGGCATTACCCGTAGCTCATCACTAATAATAAACTTAAGATCTCCCCTGACGAAAACCCCGTCTCCAGCTGCGTTCATGTCTCTCTTTTCCCATGTTCCAGCGTAGCTCATTTCCTTTCCGCAGGAACACCGGACGTTAGGAACAGAGCTATAATAACAGGTGGCTTTGGAGCAGCAATCTGATTCCGGACACGTGAAGAACGTTCTTGGGTTAATCTTATCGTCAACGTTAACTGCTAAGTTCTCGCAGCGGAGTCCCGCCGCATTCAGAGGATTAAGCAGCATTGACTTGCAGGCCTCGGTCTCAAAGACCTGGCTGTCGAGACCCTCAACGCTCTTGTATACATTGGTAATGCATCCCAGCGCCAACGAGTCTTGTCCGAGGAGCCTGATGACGGTGCCCGTCGGCATTGTCAGAAAACTTAGCAGGATGTCCAGAAAGTCCTTGTCGGATTCAGCGAACACCACTCGAGACTGCTGCTTGTCGATCAGAAGCTTCAGGCTTATCTTCTCTTTGCTGGCCGCCATGGTGAAAAGAGTATAATTTCTGTCTTTGAGATATAATGATGACAAATACTCTGGTAAAAGGGACTGGGGACGTTTCAGCTTCCAAGATGGAGCTCCGGATTCTAAACTGTGATGTTTTTCTGAAAAATTAATTATGATGCTTTAGTTTCCAAGATGTGGCTCGGCAGTCTAGGCAACTTATTTCATTTGGCTAAGTCATCAATCACAATCACTGGACACAAGGATTGGATCCCTGATCTTTTGACTAGAAATAACAGTATTATTAAAGTGGTGTTTGGTTCAAGATATTTTTGGGATATAGGAGGGATTTCAAATTTTAGAATTAAAAAAAAAGTAAGAGTTTTTGAATGTCATAAACTCTTTGTTTTAAATAATTTTTTGGTTTCTTGAACCCCTATACTGCAAAAAAAACAAATTTTAGAACTTGTAAAATCATAACATTGAGGGGGGATTTGGGGTTGATCTCTGCCAAAAAAAATCACCTCATCAAAACTTCTCTCATGACCCCGAAAATCGTTAGCGCACCGAACCCTAGTGTAATCGTTTCTATTTTCGTCTCCCTCCTCTTTTACCTGCCTCCTCAATTTTCTCCTACCAAACTCTATCATTCTTCATCACAAATCAACAAATTTTCGATCAATTCTTACCCTGCCCCTCCATTTCTACTGTAACTTGCAAGAAGATCTGAAGGTCAAAACATAAATTTGGATAAAATTATTTTGGGGGTATCTATTGATTCAGTGATTCTAAGGTTTCAAATGATTCTCTCCGACCCCGCAGGTAAATCTCTATCCGTCTCTCTAATTAGAATTTTGATTGCTTCGATTTGTGTTAGGATTTTCTAATTAGGATTTTGGTTGCTTTCGATTGCTTTGATTCTGCTGTCACTTTCGATTGCATCGATTTGGGTTAGGATTTTGAAGAATTCTAGTGGGTGATCATGATTATTTTGCTTGATTCACCCCGCAAACAGGCGAAATGTAAACTCGGCCGAGATTATCATTCTGCCCTTATACCACCCCTATAAAATAGGGGTATTATTTTCAACAATAGGGTAATCAATATCTCAGAATTCTTCTCCACTCCATTGCACTTTAAAACTCACACAGTTCATCACTTTCCCACTCAAGTTTATCACTGACTTGATCGTCGGAGGAACAACGGGGGAACTAGTCCTCGTCTTCTTACAAGTTGTTATTTGTTCATGGAGAAACTACTCAACTCAAAACCAAATATTCGAAAAAGTTAGCAGCCCCAAATCAACCTCACCCTTATTTATTATTATTTGTGTGATTATTAACATCAACAATTCTGTAAAAAGATCCCATATGTTACTTACAGTCCAATGCATAAGGAGCATCTATAGAAAATACTAAATGTTAGAGCATGTGCAGCAAGCTCTCACCCCAGCTCCCAACGTTGAGGTGACGGTGTGAGCCTGCTGCCGACGGCCCAGCAAGCTCCCAAGGTTTATCATTAAGCTTGCGTGGCACGGAGCCCAGGAGCTCATGCTATCGAGCTCCTAAGCGCTCCACAAATTTGTGGAGCGCTTGGGAGCTCCCAACCATTAAATTTTTTTTTACAAAACCCCCCTACTTTTGAACCCAGAACCTAAGTTGAAAATAGTTGTTAAAAGAAGTCGTTGGTGATTTTTCAAAATTGATTAGCCATTGAGATTTAAATAATTGGCATGAATGTAAAAAAAATCTATAAATTCTCAATTCACTACACAAATCCTTCCACACAACTCTCTCATAAAAAAAACACTATATTTCCTATCAAATTACAAAGCTCATGGATCCCTCCCAAAACATTTATTCGTAACTCCTTACTGGTGAAGGATCGGCCTTATACTCGCCGTTCTAAACAGACGTCGTAGAAAAAAGTCACCCCACTCATGAGTTCTCGCAATCGGCAACACAACAAGTGTCATCCCAAGAAATACAGACCACAAAGAAGAAGAAAGCTTACACGCGGTCCGAAAATTAGACTGTCCTCGTGGATAAGCTTCTAGTGTCTGCTTGGCTAAACACGAGCCAAGACGCCATCCAAGGTACGAGGCAACACAAAGATAAGTTTTGGCACAGAACTAACAACTACTTTATCCAATACTCCACTGATCTAAGGAGCCGCACACCAAACCAAATGATGCATCGTTGACCAACGATTCAACTGTCCGTTAACAAGTTCTGCGGGTGCGTTGCTCAGATTGAAGGAAGACAAAGATCTGATACGGGAATTATTGACCAGGTAAATATTTAACTTATATGTTTTTATGTAAACATCATAGAAATGAAGAGAGGAATATATATGTTTAATTATTCTAAATTTAACTCTTGTGTAGGCTGCAGAAGTAAAAGAATTATACAAATCTCTTTATGGTAAGTCATTCGTATTTGACCATTGCTGGGTTGAGTTGCGTCATCATCAAAAGTGGATCCAACATATTGAAACTTACAATAAGATTTGATCACAGCCCAGAAGAACCACAAACTTTGATTCCTCACCAAACAATTCCTCTCCAGTAACCCCCATCGAATTGAACACTGACTTAGATGATGTTATAGCAAGGCCTGAAAGAAGGAAAGCGACAAAGCTCAAGAGGAAACCAAATGTGGAAAACTCCGAGTCCTCTAAGTCCATCATGGCAGAGGCTTTCGCGTAGATGAAGCAAACCACCAATCAAAAAATGGATCTAAAACAGAAGAAACAAGATGACGATATCATGAAGATGGATCTCTCAACACTCAATTCAGTTCAACGATAATACTTTAAAATGCGTCAGACAGAGATATTGGAGAGGTGGATGTCTAAGGGTTCTTCCTAATTATCATATATTATCTTGTATTAGATTTATGATTATACTCGCATCGCATCCTCATTAGTTCTTCCTAATTATTATATATTATCTTGTATTAGATTTATGATTGTACTCGCATCACATCCACATTAGTTCTTCCTAATTATCAAATATTATCTTGTAATAGATTTCTGATTGTACTAGCACTTGCTAATTTTGGCATAGAATGAATACAACTACTTTATTAAAATTAAAATTGGCGTAGTACAACAACTCAAACAAGTTCGATCCGATGATGAGTACAACTACTTTATCGTTGAAATTACATTAGACATAAAGAAACTTAATATTCGGCTATGGATCTCTTAAGCTGCCACAGATGCTCGATCAAATCATTCTTTAGTGATTTGTGTATTTGCGTGTTCCTAATCCGATGATGATTTTGGATGAACTCAGTTAGAGACACCGTCCGCACATGAGAAGGTTCAACGTCTGGTATCGAATCAACAAAGTCGAAGTTGTTGTCAAATTGACAATCTCGTTCATCTTCAATGATCATGTTATGCATTATGATGCAAGCTTCCATGATGTATTTCAGCACACTATGTTTCCAGAAACGAGCTGGTCCACGAACAATCGCAAATCAAGTTTGCAATGCACCAAAAGCTTGCTCAACATCTTTTCTTGCTCTCTCTTTTTGTTGGGCAAAGTATTTATTCTTTTTTCCTTGAGATGTTGGAATAGACTTCACTAATGTGGATCACTCTGGGTAAATCCCGTCGATAGTATCCCATATTTTACTCATGGCCATTGATAGTATAATTGCACGATGAAGCTCGTCCCTCCGCAAGCTGTGCGAAAACCGGTGAACGATATAGAACATTGATGTCATTGTGAGACCCCCAGCAGTCCAAATAAGGCATGCTATATCCAAAGATCTTTGCTAGCTACACCCTCCAAAATAATTATAGGTTCATAAAATTGCCAGTATACATACCATGTCATGCGGTTGGACAGTTCTTCCATGTCCAGGGCATGTAGTCGATGCTCCCAAGCATACCAGGAATACCTCATTGTGAACCTTCCTCAAGCAGGTGTGCAACGTCTTCATTAGTCGGTGCACGAAGGTATTCATCCCCAAAGATGTCGATAATCGATCGAACGAACCTCCTCAGGCTCTCAATCGATGTACTAACTTCGATCCGAACGTAGTCGTCAACAGATGCTCCATATGTGAGCATTCGCATCGCTGCAGTAATTTTTTGAAGGCTAGATAGTCCCAAATGTCCAGCACCATTCCTCTTTTGGAAGAAGTAATCGTTATGTTCGACGACTGCGTTGTGGATTAGAAGGAATAACGAACGCGATATTCTGAATCTTCGACGAAAATAATGAAGAGGATAGGTTGGTGTGTGTACAAAATAATCTTGGAACAACCAATTGTGGCCTTCCAATCGGTTTCGATGGAGCACGATACGTCTTTTGTGTTGACGTGAAGTTCCAACTTTCTCTTGTTCTTCTTCCTCGACAACAGCAGCTCCCATAAGAAATAACATCTTCATCATTTCATCATCGCTTGAGCTAGATGATCTAGACATTTTGTTTTGGGAGATGATGAGTTGAGGTGAGAAGGCATCGAATTTTATAGGAATCAGTCGGTTGACTGTGTCCCTCGAAGACCGTGTCCCTCGAAGACAGTGACCAACAGATAAGAATCCGTCAGTTGTCCCTCGAAGACCGTGTCCCTTAAAGACCGTGTCCAACGGATAGGAATCTGTCAGTTGTTAGTGAAAGTGCATGCTCGCTCGAAGAACGTGTCCAACGGATATGAATCTGTCTGTTGTCGGTGGAATTAAATAAAAGAGGTTTAAATATAATTAAAAGTAATGTATAACAAAACTAAAATAAAAGTGGGGTTTTTTTGATATTGTTGGAGCTCCTAACTAAGAGTTTGTTGGAGATTAACATTAGTTAGGAGGGTGATGTGACATTGAAAATGGTAGGCCATGTCTTGAGAGGTCTTGAGAGCTCTCTAACAAGAACTCCCAACTGGGAGCTTGCTACACATGCTCTTACATAGTCTTCAAACCATATGTTACAAAGATTAAAAATACATTTTGAAATTGGAAACAGATGCATTGGAGTACATGTATTTTGAAATTAATTAAATTCTGTGAAAAAATATTGAAAATCCAATTATCTATACTACGAAAACAAAAATAAATTACATCATAATGAAAGTTGATACTTTGAAGAGTAAAGGAAGAAGTGACAAACGGTCCCTTGCTTCGCTATCGCCGCAAATCGTCATTGCTTCTTTTCCTCAAACATTCTCCAAGG